ACACACAAACACACACACACCCACACCAATACAATGGCACAGGGCACTCGTACATACATATACATATACAGGAAGAGCGAGAGAGCCAGCGGGTTATTGCTAATCAACTCACGTTTTCGCTGCTCGTTTGAAAATGTATTTTGTGACGCCATTTTGAACTGAAGTCGAGTCGAAGAACGTCTGCCGGCGCCGCCTTATCACCGGGGGCTTATCAAATTCATCGTTATCCCACAGTTAAAGGTGGGTGGCATAAGGGTCTCGGTCTCCTCGGGGCGCCGTCCAAGGAGACACACTATTACGTTTCTCTTTTAATAGTTGGGCGTCGCTGTCAGTCGCTGATTAAAATGAAGTTGACTTCAAGTACATCCGTCAGTTGCTCAGTCAAGTCACGCATTGAATTGTCTTTCGTTTCGGGCGGTGGGGTTTCCCTTTTTTCTTTGCTTTTTTTTTTTGGCTATTCATTTATAAGCTTTGTCTTTATATAAAATGGGTGGTGGCCCGGCCCAGAGCAGATCCATTTGCATTCAATGCTATCTGTCAGCGGCATGCGAACTCATTTGATTTACTTTTTGCTCTTAAAGAAATCAAACTTAGGGATTCAAGGCTTCAAGGGAGGTGAAGTTTATTACTGCTGCACTGACTCGGAAGGTTCTTTCCCGCTTTTGTTTTACAACGCACAAAGAAACGCCGCAGGATATGTCTGAGCTACTGTGGAATGCATCGTCTTTTTCACTGGGGGGGAATATATAATTTTTCTTATATTAATGAGTCCCACTGTGGTATGCAGCTCATTTGGCAAATAAATATGTAGAATGTTTTGCTGGCATTTCATCTATTTTTGTTTTTTTTGTTTATTCTCTTTCGCTGACACAATACTTGTACCGCCACCCGTTGGACTTTTCTTTCCTTTGTCGCATAATCGCTGCTGTGCGGATCTCATAAGAAATACGAATATGACGTCTGAGCTGTCAGGGGAGTTTATTATCTAGACATCGCCGGAGAAAGCCAAGGCTCAACCGAACAGAACAACTGTCAGAGACAGACATAGCCGCATATTCCCTCTGTTGACTGTAGGACTCTACAATCGAAGGACACTACCCCAAACTTTGCATATACTCGTACTCGTCTTTCTTCTGTGTGTATATTTTACTTAATTCAGAATTTGTGTGGTTGTGGTGTGCCTGAGCTGTCCACCTTTTTCATGTCGTGACGGCACCACACAAAAGGAGGTTGAAATGCCACAATTACAATTTAAGAATGCCAGGTTGCAAATAATTTCATCTGGTCACGTGTCATAAATACAGTTTGCAATCCACCCACCCAACAATTGGTTTTGCCAGCCAGCACGTAGTGGTAGTTTTTGGGTGCAGGAGGTACACAACGTAGTAGGTGGAATCTAATTTTCCGCAGATTTCCTAGGGATTTTTTGTTGTTGTTGTGCAGCCCAGCCAAGTAGTGCCATCCAGCCAGGAGTGCATCGTTCCCGTTTTACCGTTCGAGGCGGCTGTGGCTTAGTTATCCTTGTCGCTTGGCTGGACAACGGTTTGGCCCCATTGCTATCTCGCCCGAATCTAATTTGCATGCATTGAACCCACCACTCTTCCTCGCAGTTTAAGTTGTCCCCCCAAAGAATTGGCCCGAACAGGGGGGGAACTCTGGACTGGATTGGGTCGTTGGGATGCTGCCCTGTGTGTGCCCTGTCTTCGATGCATTAACCTACAAAAAGTAACTACTCGTACAGCAGTTGTGGCAACTGCAGCAGTTGCAGCCATAAAATTGACTCTCTCTCCCTGGCAGATTTAAGTGTCCGGCGGTTTGACAGATTGAGCCAGTTTTGGGGTGCATCGAATGGATATCAAATTGGATGCGATTGGCCGTAGATTGGTTAAGGAAAATTGCTGCGGTTCGGGCTGGCTGTTTTGTCCGGTCTTTGGGCGAGAGTGCGCCCAGAGCATTCCCAGTGTAATTGTCTTAATCCATTTATTACATGCTAAATATTATTGCTTCATTTTAAACGTTTTCGTGGTGGCATTTATCATTGCCACTGGCTCCGCTGGCGCTCTCCTGGCGCTCTTCTACTCACGCTCTTAGTCAGCCATAAATCTTGCCAGCCGGCATTGTCCTGCCGCTCCTGCTACTGCTGCAACGCAGCCTTTGAAATGCCAGTTCAACTTGCCCCATAAGTGGCTTAAATGTTGAATTTCAAATACAATGCGAGCGGACCAGAGAGAGAGAGAGTGGCTGTCCCAGTGGGCGCCTTAGAGTGGGATGGGGAGGGAGAAAAAAAAGAAAAACTAAAACAGGACACATGGCCGCACCGGATGGGGGCAGAACGGAGCTGTTCGCATTGTGCCGAGTGCCAAGTTATGTGCCTGTGCCTGTGCCTGGCCCACTCTCACATCGCCATTGCCGTGTGCCATGAATGTCCTTATAAATTGTCTGCAATGTTAAATGTTGCATGTGTCTCTCTGCCTGGGCCAAGCCTCCTCTTTCACCCACACTCTTTCCACTCCTCGTATTACCATCATTCTGGTTTATTCGTGTGTGTGTGTGTGTGTGGGTTGGTTCGGTTCGGTTCGGTTTCGTTTGCCTTTGACTTTGGCTGCAGTTTTGCCTGCAGCTCAGGAATTTATGGGTCTGCCTCTTCGCTTGCAGGTTCTGTCTCTGTGTCTGGCATTGGGGCGGTGTGGTGTGTGTGTGTGTGTGTGTGTGTGTATGAGTATGTGCCACTAATCAGCACACGTTTTAGTTGCCAGCCCGTTTGCAGGAAGTGGAAGTTGAAATTGTTAAAAGCAATAAAGCTAATAAGTGATGTGGCAAATGTGTGGCCTCGCTTTTGGTTACGTGTGTGTGCAGGCGAGTTTGAAGTGTCTGTCTGTGTGGCGCGCTCATGGGGGATGGTCACACTGTTTCCGTCCTTAGTGATGCAATCGTGAGTGTGGCATGCCTCACACCCAGTTTTTCAGAACGTTTCCACAGCCAGCGGCACGGGAAATCAGCAATTAGTGGCAGACAAAACGCCCCAAGCATAAGCAATGGCACAGGCCCAGCACCCGCACCAGCACCATGCCCAGGATACAGGTCCAGGCATCGACACATATATGTTTAAATGCATATGTGTGTGTGTGTGTGTGTGTGTGGGTGTAGGAGATGGCACGCATTTCCGTCACCGCCAACTGCTTCCGGCGTCTCTCAGTGCACTTTGACTTGGCCACTGGCAAGCCTGTGCCCGTCACCCTCTGTTTCTCCCTCACTGCTGTTTGCCAGACCTTTGTTCGACTTTCTACCGTGCCGTCCCGTCCCGTCCCGTCCTGGGTTCGTGTAATTTTATGACTAATTAGTCAGCTAGTACGTCAAGTTGGTAACTACAGCAAGGCAGCAGCCTGTGACAAGGCAGCAAGCAACCAGCAACAGCAACAGCCACTAGCCACTGACGACTCCGTTTAGCTTAAGTCTATTACAGTTCTGGGGCGTTGATCGTGGGCGTGGCCATTTATTTGCCTTGCTGCGCTTTTAATTGCTTGCAAGCAATTTCTTTAGCCTTTTTATGGCATGCAACAGCAGCAGCAGCAACAACAACAGCAACAGCAGCCGCAATGGCAGTTGCAACAAGAGCAACAGCCTCCGGTGTGTCTACAAAGTTGAGTTGCAATTTTAGTTGGCTCCGCGCCTTCTGCTGTCGAGGTTGTTGCTGCTGTTGTTGCTGTTGCTGCTGCTGCTGCTGCTGCTGTTGCTGCTACTGCTGTTGTTTCTCTTTGTTGCCTGCCTTCTGCATTCTTTGTTCTTATTTGGCTTTGTGTAATTTTGCCTCATAAAACACACAAAGCACAATGCAGCAGACATTCCCCGATGCTGGAACCATGCCACCCAATGATGGGGATCTGAACATTTTGCGGTTGCCTTAAAGCTCTTTTTAAAGTGGATAATGAGGCACCTGGGGCCGGCGGAGAGTAATGTCATGGCAAATATACACAAGATAGAGAATAATTTCCAACTACTTAGCAATCAGTAGCGCAATCTTGAGAGCTTCACCATTCCAATTAATCACAGCCGAGGAGGCGGTGAAAAATATTGCTAAATTAACAGCTGACAAAAAGGTCGACAAATGATTTCCGCTGCTGAATTCTTCACTTCCGTTGCATGTAGCACAGGCAGCATCATTTGTAGCATGTACATCACCTCAGTCACGGGGCGCCAAAAGTCAAAGCGGAAAGTTTTTGGGCGTGCCGGATTTAAAAATCCACTTGAAACACCCGAAGCCCGAAGCAAGTCAGAGACGCGAGAGAAAAAATTTAAATGACAAGCAACTAATGGGAATTGCCAACAATTTTCAAAGGCAAAGGCAAAGGAGGTGCTGCCAGGTGCTGCCAGGTGGTGCAAAACTTTGCCACCTTTTGGCCAAAACCTTTGCATCGAAAATCAGCTAACAACACAACAAATGGCTTCATTTATTTGCGTCTTTTGTGTGCGATGCTGCTGCTACTGCTGCTGCTCGGCTCGGCTCGGCTCGGAACTTCCTGCTGCCGCCAGGTGGCAAGACACCAGGAAAAACTAAGGAAGCGACACAGCCAGATAGGAAGAGTCTGATTCACGCTTAGATCCAGCATTTTACCCCTCGCCATCTGAAATCCGAAATTGTGTGCAAAGTTTACACTGAAAAGGTAGCCGCCTCCAACAGCAGCAGCAGCAGCAGCACGGAATCAAGTGTAGAAGTTGGAGTCGGAGTCGGAGACGGAAAAGAAGCAGCATCAACTATTTATATATAAGAACCAGTGCTGGCAGAGCAGTCTGTACTCTGCTCTGCTGTTCTGCAGCTGCACTTTGCCGTGATTGAATGGCCAACACCAGCAGCCGTTAATGTGTTTGAGGTTTCTCATTGAGATAAAGTTTTGTTGGCCTGCCGGAAATACAAGAGCAAAGTCCCACTTTAAAGTTTTTTTCCGGGCACAAACTTGTGCCACTACACAGGGGAAGGATAAATGATTAAGCTTGTATTGTATTATAAAAGATTACACACGGAATGCATATATTTCCCTGTCACATTTACAGACTCTACAGTTATTTCTATGTAATTTAGCTGTGACTTATTTTGTGTTATCCATATCCATCTTGGGCAGTAGCCCGAAGCGGGAACTCTAGACCGTGAGGACATTTAGCGTCCTTTCTGCAATTTATACGTACAAGTTGTCTTCGGACGTTTCCCGACCCGACTTTAAGCCTGACCTTCTTGTTGTCAGCCTCTTGATATGTAATTCCTCTGAATTGACCTTTATGCATATATCGATGAACAGGCACAGATCCAGATTCTTCATACGTTTGGCCAACTCAAAGGCCTCGGCGAGTACATCCTTCTGATGTTCGACTTTCTCCACAATGGCGTGCGCCTTGCAGATGACAATCAGACTCAAGAAGCTCCACACAATGCTGTTGCATCTGGTGGCCTCTGTTGAATGGGCGGGAATTGGCATTGGAATTTATATCTATCTCTAGTTCTGCCTGACTTACCCTCCATTGCCTTGCGCGCCAGTGAAACGGCCATATTAAATGAATTATTGTTCAAATGGGCTTGGGCCAACTCATGCAGCAGATAAGCACGTTCTATGGGGTACTTGGCGAATCTCATGCGACTCTCATAGCGTGCAGATAGTTTCCTAGCAAAGCAATTAAATTCAAACTAAAATTAAATTATATACAAAACATTGGAATTGAAATACGCACTTAAACATCTCTGTCTTGGGATCCTTCAGGTCAGTCCTTGGTACGTACATCAATTTTCGTTGCTTCTCCTTTTCTTTGAGTGCCATGCTCGATTCTTGGGGCAGTCCAAAGAGTGTCAATAGACGTTGTTTGCCCTGCAAGACGGTCATATCGCTGGGAATTTTGTATTCATTAATGCGGGCCAAACCCAAGTAGTTGTAGACCTCATTAATGAATTCAAATTTCCATGGCATTGTGCGATGCGTCTTAACGGTAACATAATCGCCCATTACTTCCTCAATAAATGTTGTTAGTTTCTGTGGATAGGAAAATATTAAAAAGGGATTAATAGCCCAAAAAGCCCACAAATACTCACATCCAAAGAACCAACTCGTATCAACTGACGTATGCTACGCAATATCTTGAACATATTTCTCCTAGTCTGATACTGAATTCTATACAGATTTTCCTCCTTTTGTTTATTATACAGCTCTTCGTTGGGATATCGTTGTGAAAACTTGGCGTACATGGGACACCGTGCCTGAAGCATTTTCTAAATTAAAAAAAAAAAACAATTTTTAGTTAAATTTTTTGGAGCAAAATGTTAAACGTCGAACCGTCAAAGTGCGCGCTGAAGCATAATGTGAATCCATTAGACCCTTCAAATAGGGTGTCGATTTTTTTGCCTGCTGCGGCAGAACATTGGGATTGCCACGCAGTTTCTTTAGATATGCCATATCCACCCAGCACTTATCCAGATACGTCTGATTGTAGATATTGAAGCAACGCTTGCGTCTGGCTTGTTCCAGTGGAGAGACAAAAACTTCCTAGATTTGAGACACCCGCAAAAACATTCGAGATATTTTTCACACTCGTATACATATTTTTTTAAATGCTTTAATTAACTTACCGGAATTTCCAATATGCTAACAACATCGCAATCATCCTTGACTGGCTTTGGCTGGCTGGCCCGATGTCTCTGCATGCGACTGATCAGACGCTGTATTGCCGGTGAAGTCTCATCCCTCAACATGTCCCTAAAGTTCTCATCGACCTAAAAAAGATATGAGAATTGCAATGAGGCTATGAGGGGATCACAAATTAATAGTTTAGAGAGCTACATACCACATCCAAGCGATTGATGCTGGGCTTGGCCTGGGCGCCACTGAATAGCCCCAAACTACTGTGAAGATTAATTTTGGCATCCTCGAAGCGATTTGACTCGTACAGTGCATCTGAGATCTCAAGGCTTACGCTTGGATTGATAATGGGTGGAACCGACCATGCCAGAATTGCTGTAGGTACACAAACAAATCGAAGTAAAAGTGATTCAACATCAACGATCATCGTTCATACCTTCTGCCTGGGTACAGTCTTGCAGAGCTTCGGGTGCCATGCCCTTCATCCTTTTGACCCTACTGCGTCGCATCAGCGCATTCGGATTGTACGCATTGATGTTCAAGGCATTATTCAAATACTGAATGCTGTTCGAGTAGCGCTGTTGGCGACTAAAGTACAGTCCCCAGTCCGAGTAGATGCCTCCGAGCTGCTCTTGGGACCAAGCAATCACCTCCCATGGCCTCAGGTGCGGTACAATTCCGGCTGACGGTGCTCGTGACTCAGAAACTATCGATTGCGTACCCATTATTAATTGTTTAATTAATTGCAAATACCCGTAGTGGTAGAAAAATCACAATAAAAAAAGCGAAACTAATACAAAAAGTGTAAGTACAAAAGAACAATGTAAAAAAATCAATGCAATTTGTGTGTGTGTCTACGGTTTTGATAGAAAAGTCGGAGAACTATGAATAGGGATTTTTAAACCGGTAATAAATAATAAATAAAAAATGTTTGCTGTTAGTTAAGTCCACCTTTTCGGTTTCCTTTTGTTTTTTTTTTTTGATTTAAAAACTCTTCGGCAATACACTTATAAAATATAGTTTGATTATCTGCAGTGGTAATAGAAATGATCCAATTCGGATGACGTTTCTGTGGCACATTAGGTAGTGGAGGAAGGCAAATGGGTCGCAGTGATGCCGAAAGTATGAAGGGATTAACCAAAAGTAGACGCGTTTGTATTTGGCTGCAAATGTATTTGATTAATGTTAATGATTCAAGTATATTTTTATAGATTAATGGCATATATGTACATACCTTTTTGAAATTAGGGCCACGTTGTGCAGCGCATAGGGATGTTCCTCATTTTTCCTAAAGCTGGTTTTCTGATCTCCCTCGGCAATGGCATAGTGCATCACATCCTCCCCATCGATCCAGTATTTGTCAACGATAACCATCCATGGACTGATGATTGTGCCAAAGCATTGGAAAGTATAGTTCGACAGTGTTATGTCACTTTTAAATATGCTAACCAGCCATGGATCACTCTTAACGGTTGGTAGTATTTTGCCGCATTCTGGAACGCACTTTAATTGATGATTTTTATTCATTTGTTTTTTCCAGAACGGGATTTCAGACGTGCCATTCCTCTGGCATGAGCGGATTTCTGAAGTTATAGCATTATTCCGCGGTTTGTAGCTGGGAGCACAGGTTACAGTGGCCTCGGTGCCAATGAATAGCTTGGTGTCCTGGCTCTTGCAGCTCTTGATCTTACCCTTGTAGCTGCAGACGGCCCGAATGGAGAGATCTGTGTGGAATGACTTATCACTGCAGGTGCGAACGCACTCGGGCCAGGGTCCCTGCCAAGTACCATTTAAACAGTGGTTCAGATCGTTGCCATTTAACTGTCTATTTTCGTCGCAGCTCAATCGCACCACAACCGAATCGGCTATCGCAGAGCCCGACGTGTAGGGCAGCACATTGAAGAGAGTTTTCACTTGCACATGCTTGATGCTTCTTGGAATAACGCAGCCATTCGCTGACGTAGGTTCACTGTCTTTGGAGGGAGTTCTGATCCGTGGATAAACGAGCACTGTCGGTGTGGTGCGGCTTGTGGCATTCCTTTTCGAAGTGTGACTCTGCCACAATTCGCTTTTGGGCATTCCACGCATTTCAAAGCATATGGATGGCACTTCATCGGTGCCGTCCCAGCAATCGGTCTCATGATCACAGGCCTTCGCCTTGGCCAGACAGCCACCATAGGCGCAACGAAATGTGTCGCTGGGGCACTTGGAAGCAATGCAACTTTCATTGGATTCATCACTTCCATTCGGGCAATCGCTGATGCCGTCGCAGAAAAACTTCTTCTCCAGACACTCATCCGTTTGAGGGCATCGACTATGATTGTCTCTGGAAGCACACACAATTAATTAGGAACTCTTATGGTAATCAATACACCTTTCTTTACGGGCATGTCGACGTGATAACAGTCTCCATGGGCTCTGGCTCTGCCATTTGCTCTTTGTAGCAAAGTAGTGGTTGCTCATCCGTCTTATCCCAGCAGTCAGGGGTGCCATCACACAGCTGCCGCTCCTTAAAGCAGGCCCCATACGAGCACTTATGCTCTGCGCAGCTTGCATTGTGGCATTCGGCAAAGGTTTCATCACTGCCATCAGGACAGTCTATTCGGGCATCGCATCTCTGGCTAAACGCAATGAAATCTTGTCCATTTTTACATCTCCAGTTTGCTTGTAGACCAACTTTAAATGAAATAAATATTTGGTTATGCAATTATTTTCTTTAAACTTTTTTACGCACCGAAATAAACACAAAGAATTGATACTAAAAATTCACGCCGAAACATTTTGTAAGATTTCGCTGCGAGCTGCTCTGCTCAACGATGCCAAGAAGAATGAAATACGAATGGATCGTATGGAATGGTTTTTATTTACGAAATCTACACGCAAAGAGAGCGCGAGAGTAGTACAGAGAGTCATCTCCGTTCTCTTTTTGTTGATTGCTGATTGATTTGTATGCATATGCGGTATGACTATGCTCTCCGGTTTCTTTTTGTCAATTGCTGATTTATTTGTATTTTCTTATGATTCATGACAGAAATTGCACATCAAAGATTTTAATAATGGATAAGTAAACAATTCTTGGAAAGATACGAAAGTGTATTTACTTGTTCTCTTGGGATTTAAATAAATTTCAGAGCGTGCAAATAAACAAAACCAAAACAAAATTCTGCGACAGCTTTTAACCCACTGAGTGCTTTTTAAATGCAAAAAAAATATATATATAGCGAGAAGGAACGTTGGGAGTCGTTTCTGTGGACTCTACAGTATAAACAGTCAGTATATAAATATGTGAGATTATGATATATATAGAATTCTAAAATATTTTACATTTTTTTGCTACATCTGTCATACATTTTCTTAAATGTATATTATACATCCACAATGTAGATTATTCATCTGCAATGTAGATTCTACATCTTCTCCGCAAAGGTCGTGTATTGCCCAGAGCAGAGTGTGTGCGAGCGAGAAAGAGAATGAGTAGCATCTGCTGCTCTGAGGGGCATGGGGTAAGCAACTGAAAATAAATTTCTTCATTCTGGCTATAATTATGATCCGATCTGATTAAGATTAGGGAATCTGGTAGATATGGTTATTCTCTACGATACTGCGTAGATTTTCGACTTTTAAGGGGGCGGATATCACATGAGCCTGGAAACAAAATTTGGTTGTTCTAGCTCTTATAGTCTCTGAGAACAAGGCGGCCATCGGGACGGACGGACGGACAGACATGGCTATATCTTCCTTCTCTGCGTTTACACACATTCACTTTTACCACAAATACAATACACCCCTTAACTCTTCGAGTACGGGTATAAAAGTGTAGTTAATCAGAATGAAATATTAGCTGAAAGAGTCATTTACAGCCAGAGGCAAATGGTTACTTTGCCCCCCGCTCCAACACAGCAGAAAAAGTCCCATTGAGTCGCTGGATAACCGAATAGCTTAATCGGCTTACATCGCCTGTGCTGTTGATTTTAGAGTGCATATTGATGAAACTCTTTGACGACATGTTGGAGTGTTGAATTATAAATTAAAATCCCAACAGCATTGGCGTCCGACGTTTGATGTGCCAAATGGATAGAGAGGGAGCACCAAGCAAGAACAGGCAATGGTATTGTTCCGTGTTTCGTGCTCTAACAAAATGGCAGGCAACATCGACAAATGCAAAGACAGCTACGAGCTGCATTCGGGGCAGGTGGCAGTCGACATGCCCAAAGGGGCAAGTACGTTATCTGGACTGACATGAATGAACGGCAACGTAGCACACCAATACCAGTGCATTGACAAATGAGCACAAGTCGTACTGTCATTCTGTCGATGTTTCTTTATACTTGATTCCTTCTATCCCTTGCTTCTATCCCTTGCTTTTGTTGTGTGTATTTGTTATCGGAAGCGGCTTCAAGGGAGATGGATTGGGGAAATGGTTGCGTATTTGCATTAAAGTTGCTTTGATTGGAGATTCTTTTGTGTTGCTTTCATTGTGAGATTATAGTCAGTATCTTTTAGTGCGTATATGAGCCACTGAGCCAAAATTTAAGAACTACATTTTTTTTGTCCCTTATTCTGTTCTTTGTTAGGAAATAAAATTAAATAATTTTTTCAAATTTTTAGTTTGATGTTTAAGAGTTGCTACCACAAAATTAAATTAATTTTTGTTGTTTAAATATAAATTTTTCAAAAATTTATTCGTCGGTTTTTTCAAATAAAATTGAAACAATAATATATTTAAAAACTTTTATTCTTTTTACTGTTAATGAACTAACAAAGTAAAATTCGGTAGCATCCTCTAAAACAATTTTTAAATAAAAATAAAAACAATAACAAAACAAAATAATAACAAAAAATATAACAAAATTAAGGGGTGTATCATTTAAATATCAGAAACAAATTTTTGTTATTTTAATCACTTTAAAATTCGTAGGCCTTTGGGTATTTCCGATACAAAACAATTCCAACAAAGCATGAGCCTTATCAAATTTGTTTGACGTCATACATATTTATCAGACCAAAGCAAAGTCCCTACATTCAGTTGCGGAGGAAATAATAGCACTGTTTGGTACCACAGTCTTTATTGTTGCAAAATATGATCTCTAACCAACCAAGAACATATTTCAATTAGGCTTACATATCTCCTCTCTCTGAAATTCCTAAAGGTTCTTATTATTTTACTTTACTCAATTAAAAAAAAACAATAAGCGAAAGAGGTCGGCAACAAAAATAGCACTAAAATTTGTTTTTTATAAGAACTTGTACTTTTCCGAGCTTTTTGATGTTTTATGTTCTTGATTAAATTAATAATCGGTGGCTTAAGTCGATTGTAGCAAGAGCGTTACAAAATATTTATTCCAAAGCCGAGACGCTGAGCCTCTGTTGTTGCTGCCAAAGGCTTTAAAACAAAATATTAACCTTTGAATACAACTAAAGTAACTTATTTTAAGGCAGAATTTGTAAAACTTTTTTGTAATTTGTATTTTTTGTAATTTTTTTGATATCAGTGCTATTTTTGTTGCCGCCTCAATTCCTGAATAATTCTTTCGGATACGTTAAATTACAGCCTAAAGTATATATACTAGTTCTAAGACCGTTCAATAATACTACTGTCTAAACATAATCCTTCAATACAGAAAATTGAGTGTCAGGTGCTATTATTTATGCCACAGCTGTATATATGGCAATATGCCACTCAGCGGCGATACAGCACAATCGAGCGAGCTAAATTTGCGGCCCACATTTGAGGCTGTGGAATAGCAAGATAATCAGGAGAAATTACTTAGGCTTCCCCAAAGAAAATAATCACAGTCTTATGAGATCCATTCCACCGCACACCAGCGAAACACCAGGAAAAATGGTGTCTAAACTTTTGGGTTCTGGATAACTTTATGGGCAAGTGGGTTTGGGGCGAATGGCGAGTGCAAAGTTCCGCAAAGCGGGGCTCTTATCCAATTAAGTCATAACTCAATATGTGCTGAGAGATATGCACTTGGCCATTACTTAGGCAAAAGGCAAAAATTTGCTCTAATAACTTTTGAGTTTGCGCTTTTCTTCCGTCTTCTTTTGCCGGCTTGCCAAGGAGGTAATTTTCACACCAGAGCCATGTAATTTGCTCTGCTCCTCTTTTGCTGCTGGCATGCTGGATAGAGAGAGAGTGGTAGAGTGTAGAGAGGGGGTTTTCGGTGAAAAAGATTTTAGTTTATGCAGAGCAACAGCTTCCCGTTTGCCTTCCCGTTTTTGCCTTGTTCCCTTTTATGGCACCAGCGAGACGTTGCCACAACTCATTTGGCATTGACCAGGATTGGACGTTGCCGCAGTCCTTCGTGACTGTGTCTATGGGTGGCAGGAGTCTGCAGTGGCTCCCATTTCCCATCTTCCCCATGCTCTCATTCTCTCATTCTCATCCATATCCCACATCCATCTGCCGTTGAGAGCGCGCGCATAAATTATTCATTTGTAATGTGCAGCCTCAGTCTCTGTCTGGGTTTCAGAGTCTCGACTCGACTCGGTCCGGGTACGGGTCCGCGTTGGCTCGGTCTTGGCTCTCGGTTATGGGTGGCCTGGCCTGGGGTCTGAAGTTCTCTGTGTGCACTTTTGGCACAGGATATGACACTGACACTCAGCGCCGGCGCTCGTCCTGCGTCAACAACTTCCTTGGCTGCTCTTGGCGTTTACTTTGGTTTGGTTTGTAATTTCCTTCTGGAGTTTGTGCCGTGGCTAAAAGAAAAACAACAAGGAGTCCCACAAAAAAAAAAAAAACCCACCAAACCCCAAGAAATACATATTCCTCACTGTGGAACGGAACAGAACAGAACAGTAGTATTCCAATTGCAGCTGGACCTGCTACTGCTCCTGCTACTGCTCTGCTCCTCCTTCTCCTGGTTTACCACTTTACATTGGGAAAATACTGCTGCCCTGCTGCAATTGCAAACTTTAATATTTGCTCTCCTTTTTGTATCTGTGTCTGGAATGTGTGTTTCAAAAGTTTCATTTGTGAATTGAAAAATTATTTTTCGTTTCATATGCAGAGTGTGTCACTTACAGGAGGTCCATGCCACTAACTCAAACTCTAACTCTGACTCCGCAGCTGCAGCTGCAGCTCATTGACAAAATAGAAAGTTGTTGACTCAGTTTCCAGTTTCTTTGGGTCTGTGCTTCGGCTGAGCATAAGTTTTCGTCTAGGACGAAATACGCTTTTTAATTACGCTCAGGTTTTATTTTTAATACTTTGTCTGGCTGCTGTTTCAGCCTTCTAAGTCGTAAACTGTGCCGCAGCCCACACACACACACACATATGTAGTCGTATGAAGACATTAATTAATTAAAAACCGCAATGGGAAAACTTAATGAAGCCTTGGGCTTAGGCTAAAAAGTGAGCCAGCAAAATAAATGGCCAGCCTCATAAAGTTGTAGCTTGACAGAGAGAGATAGAGAGAAATTGCAGTTTGCTAGCGGAGACATTTCTCTGGTAAGTTAAATGCCACAAAATTGCACCTT